GCTTGGGCAGAGAAAGCTCCTGTGAATTTAGAAAAAAAAAACTTCCTCAGAAAAACAAAAAGGCAAAAATGCTTAAAGAAGGTAAACCCTAGGAAGTCCAAGGGGGCATGGAAGAGGCACCAATAGCATCGTATTGCTGCAGTTACCTGTGTTTCTTGGCAAGTAAGGTTGTAACAATATATATTGATAAGCACCTATGAATAAATTTTGAAACTTAATGCCAGAAGGACCAAGAGCCAGATAGAGTCTTTCAATATCAAGGCACAACCCTGAGTTTCGAGAGGTGGTATCAATAGCAAAAGTGGCCCAGCAACTCATAGATAACAGCTATGAAAATATGTCGTTCAAAATCAATAGCTTCTGAGTTTCACTTATCCAATCATTCTAGTGATGTTGTAAATATCTAATTACATATGTTAATTAATGTTCTGCTTCAGCTATCTTGAGTTCCTTCTGTTATGTACTCCAGGTCCAGAAAAAATTTTTTTGGGTCTTTTTGAAACAGGGTCTCCTTGTAGTCCCAGCTGGCCTGGAACTCGCTATGTACAGAAAAATATTTTTTGGCAATTTTTAAAATTTATTTTTCTATTTTTTATGTGCATGCATGTATTGCCTGAATTTAGGTAAGTACACCTGTGTTGTGCAATGCCCACTGAGGTCAGAATAAGCTATCAATCCCCTGGGACTGGAGTTACAAACAGTTATTAGCTGCCATGTGGGTGCTGGGATTTGAACCCAGATCTTCTGCAAGAACAGCCAGTATTCTTAACCACTGAGCCATCTCTCCAGCCCCCAGAAAAATATTTTTAACCAGAAGAGGCTGCAATCAACAGATATTCAAAAAGGAAATTTAGGCTATACTAAATGATCTAGCAGGTTTGAAGGCAATGATCAGCTCATATCCTTAAGAAACTAAAACATTGTTAGTCCCTAGAAATCAAAAGCAAAATTTTTACTCTGATTTTCACCTAGAATGAATCACTTATTGAAAGTCAGTCTCTAGCAAGCAAAGTGGCTGGGTGGTCAACCATTTTGATGAGAATGAGGAAGATCTGTATGGAAGGTGACTGCACTGGGAAGTTTAAAGAAAAAACATACCTAAGGCTTTTAAGTTCCTAAATCAGTACATGCTCTGAACACCACTTATTTTTAAGATTTCTCTAAGAAAACCTATCTCTCTTTCATCCTAGATCCAACTGCACAGCTGGCATAAATAAAAATTGAAAACAAAATCAAATTCTTTAGGCTGATAAATAATTGTAAATGTTGAGTTTATAATTAATGTGTTTTTATTAAGATATTCTATTGAGAAAAGTATCTTTGGAATTGGAAAGAGACTAGCTAGGCCTATTCAAATCAAATACTATTGTGATTTTCTACATTAATTAGTCTTTTTCTAGCAGAAGCAAACTCATGTTCTTAATGGAGACAATTGCATTATGGAGACAATTGCATTGTGGAAGGATGCTAATTTTTATATGCACTCCACCTACTATCTCTCTTGGCCTCTAAACTTATAGAATCATATACTAGCTTATTCAAGGGTGACAAATACCAAGCCTATCATAATTTAGTAAAAATAAATATTATAAGAATTGTAAAAATTTACTGATCACATCACTACAGCTGTAGGAATAAAAGATACAAATGTCCAATAAATACATAAAAGAAATGCTCAGTAGCTTTAGTCATCACAGAAATACAAATGAAAAGATACATTGAAATGCTATATAACCCCAATTACAATTACTATCATCAAGTAAACAAAAACAACAAATCTGATCAAAGATGTGGGAATAAAGTAACCTTTGTCTAGTATTGGTGGGACTGTTAGAACAGCCACAATGGAAAGCAATATGGAGGTTCATCAAAAAACTTAAAAAAATACAACTGCCATACAATCCAGATATACCATTCCTAGCCCAATTCACCAGTAACACATTTGGTGGCCTGTATGGAGATCATTAAAGGAGCTCCTCTGAGGACAAAACAGGTGACCATATTTTTTAAAAACTCAGGTAAGCTCCTTCTGGTGCTGAAACCCCACAGTAGTTACATTCTGGCTGAGATTTCTTTGGGGGGATTGGGCCTCCTGTCTTTATCTTTCTATCTTTTCTAGCCCTATAATTTCCTTGCTTCACTACTCTGATTCCCCCAGAAGAGGAAGTATTTCTCTTTTCCCTCCTCTCCTATGATCAATGGAGCGAATGTATAATTCCTTTCTTTCTTAGGTTCTTTTTCCATGTCTGTGGCCATGAAGTGTAACATAAATTAAGTTTAACTGCCTCTCTCATCTCTCTAGGCACCAGGACTTTCTTCTCTCCCTCACCATAGTCATATCTCTGAGGCAGAAACTTTGACTGAAATTAAAGGAAAGGAAATAAACCAAGCATCCAGAGTTTGCTCCATGTTGGCACTAGAAGTCTTGGATGCAGAGGCTCCAAACTAATACACAGTCACTGACACTGTCTTGGACCTTGTGTTCTGTGTCTGCCACAGGATGCACGAGTCCCCAGTACATTTCTGATTGGTCAGAGACAGCACACAGACTGCTGAAACTTTAAATTCAAGATTTTTTTGGCAACTTCATTTCTGAATGACTTGATTTATTGTTCTGCTAACACAAAATGGGACACAGAAGCTACAGTCTTGGCCCACATGGACTCATGGGTCAGCATCCCTGCCATGGTATGGTTTCTTCTCAGTTGCCCTGTATGTTCACAGACCCTCTTAGTACATTTTCCCATCACTTCTTGTTTTTCTATGGGCTCCTGCCCCATCAGCAGCCTGTAAAAACAAGGACCTTGGAGACAAGGGCAATCCAAAATTAGATCTAGGTGATATCTTTTGGTGTACCTACCTGGCTACAATCAACTTTTCTTCATCATCATTGTGGTAAAGCAGGGGTTCACCTCCCTTGAGTTGAGGCCTTGGAATTCCTTGCTTCTTTCCTGTCCTTTTTCTATTTTGGGACCTCAAGGGTCATGCCACTCACTCTAACTCCATGTGTATTTCTTGCTCCTGCTACTTCCATTGCTAATTTAATACAGGAGCCTTCTATCAAAAAGAGGATAGCTATGCTCATGTAATGCTTTCTGGGTGTCCTTAAAGTTTGATACCCACCAATCAAGCCACTTTTGAGTCTTGGCCCTTGCCAGTCAGGAAAATCCATCCTCACCAACCAAAATACCTCTGGAATTGGGGAAGCATGCTACCTCAATTCCCAAGAGGCTTTTGGACTTTTGTTCTCACCAATCAAAGTAACCCTGGAGTTGAGGAGGGCATATATGTGGGTCTTGACCCCCACCAAATAATGTCACTCCCAACTCCCAGTCTCCTGATCATACCTTACATTTGAGTCCTACTGATTCACTTCTCAGATGCATCCTCTATAACTAGGGTGAATTAGATCCCTAAGACTTAACCTCTTAAATAGAGGTTATCATGATCTTATACAATGTCGTCAGGCAGTTTAGCTGTTAGAGAGAATGACAAATAACTGGCAATTTGAGCTTTGATTTTATCCTCCAGCTAGATCTGGTCCATTGAAAGTAAAAACTGACTAGATATGCCCTATATCCAAGCCTTTTCTTCAAGACTGGCATAACTGGCCTTCTAAGGGTTCAACAATCATACTTGAAGGTAAAATCCAACAAGGATATACGGGCTAAGAGAACAGCCCACATTTTGACTCCTGCCTCCATGTCAGCAAAGCTTCAGAGAATGAAAATCTCTGAAAGAGTCCTAAAACTGGCAGGTCCTTTGTCATCTTTATAAAAGAGCTTGTGAAAGCCCTAGATGTTTTATTCTAACCAGTATATGTTTGTAAGTTGAAGATCAATACAGAGGGAAATGTCCTCAGTGTGTCTAAGGGAAGTCCCTTAGTCAGCAAACTCTGGTCCATCCCAACAAATGGCACAACTCGTAAAGACTAAGGGAGCCAAGAGACTCCTCTAAAGTCCCTAAAAGTAACCCCTAAAGAGTCCCAAATGAACTCTAATAAAAAGAACAATGGTTAATTTTTGGCTACCTACTTGGCCTTAAACACTCAACAGGAAAATATAGCCAATGAGTGAAATAATAGATAATAATATAAAATAAACAGAATGATACTAGACTTTTAAAAGGGAAAAGTAATAATTCAGGACTTACAGGATTCCCCTTTAGACACCAAGTATATATTACTGACTGTGGTGGTTTAAATGAGAATGTCCCCCATAGGCTCCAAGTATTTGGACACTTGGTCCCCAGTTTGTGGTGCTGTTTGAGGAGAGTCATGGAACCTTTAGGAGGTGTGTCCATGCTGGAGGAAGCATGCCACTGAGGGCAGGTTTTGAGAATTCTTAAGTCTTTGCTTCCTTGCCTGCTTGAAGATGTGATCACTTGGCTTTCTGCTCCAGCCCCCTCCTGCCACCATGCCTCCTCTGCCATTATGGACTCTAGCCCTCTGGAATCATAAGCCAAAAAATTCTTCCTTCTATAAGTTGCTTTCATCAGTGTTATGTCATAACAACAGAAAAGTAACTGATACACTGACATACCAGATAGGACAATCACTGCCACCCAAGCTAAAATCAGATTAAAGGACTTGTGATTTTCCTCACTGTAAAACGTGCTGTTTATGCTGGACATGGTGGTGCATGCCTTTAATCCCAGCACTTGGGAGACAGAGGCAGGTGGATCTCTGTGTGTTCGAGGCCAGCCTGGTCTACATAGCAAGTTCCAGGTCAGCTGGGGTTACAGGGAGACCCTGTCTCAAAAAGACCAAAAAATGCTGTTTATATTCCTGATAATTCTACTTAATGTCTTATCTACTTTATAAGATACATGTAATAAGATTCCAGCCATGTCAGATACTATTTTTTTGGCCAACACTTTAGAAAATGGATTTCTGAATCTTCATGAAAGAAATGGGTTGTTATAATCTTAGTAGCGATACTTTTGATCTTTGAACTTATGTGCTTAACTGCTTTCTTAACTTTATTTCTTCTCTCTTTCAGTGGATCCACCCTCAAATGATTCTGCTGCAATCTAACTCCATCTATCTGGGTCCTGCTGATCATCCTGAAAGTCAGCAAGAGCAGAGACCCTAAACTCTTCTATGGCACATTTGAAACATAAATGGTCAAATCGACTTGGAACTTATCTCCTAAATGATTTTAGGGTCTCAACTCTTGAGGGGTGGATGTCAGGTAGCTAGACAGGTGTGAAGGTCACTGAGGATGGGCCCCTCCTTCATAATCAGCTTTGGACCCCACTTCCTATTTCCTTGGTAATGCATAAGAAAGTATCACAATTGCCTTTCCTTAATATTTAAAATATTTTATGAAAGGAAAACAGTAGCAGAGTTTTGTTTATTAAGAGAAAGCCTCCTCCTGGTCAAAAGAATAAAATCTGAATTTGGCCCCTAGCAGAGAGAGGACATTTTAAACTACCCCCAAAGATTCTAACATTCCACACTGTTGTTCTATTCTTTAACTGGGCTCGCCAGTCATCTGGTCAGGAGACTACCCCTCAGCAAAGTTGATACACCTGAACATGTTAAGGAGATTGGAGGAATAATTTTTCTCTTAATGAGATAATGTACTTAAACCTCCTAGAAGCCTCACCCTTGATGCAGTTGCTTGCAGACCTTCATTGCCAAGCTTACCTGCTTTTCTGAGATCTAACTCAGAAGGCTTAACTTTTCCTTATTTACATTTCTCTATCTTCTTTAAATACCAGCCAAAATCCTAAGCATGCTTGCCCTGACACCCAGAGCCTTCTCTGAACACTCTCCAAGAGAGTTGCTCACAGACATCCTTTACTAAATCTGCCTGCTTCCATGGACCCCAAGTCAAAAGGCATGACTATATTTCTTCCTCTTCTCCATCTCCCTCCTCCAAGCAGATGCCAAGATTTACAGCCTGCCTGTCTTATTTGTTTTTTTCTCAAAATCTAATAAATGTGCTTGAACTTCAAATAAAGGAGGCCTGGGGTGATATCTCAATAGGTAGAGGGCTTGCCTTGCAAGCACAAGGACCTGAGTTTGATCACCCAGAACCTTTGTGGAAAAAAAAGCTGAGTGTGATGGTGTGAGACTGTAATCCCAGCACTGAGGAGTCTGAGAGACAGGTGGATTTCTGTGGTTTGCTGACTAGCCAACCTAGCCTATTGGTGAGTTTTACCCCAATGAAAGACCCAGCCTCAAGAAAAAAAGATGGATAGTACTTGAGGAATGATAGGTGAAGTTGTCATCTAGCCTTCATATGCATGTGAAGACATGGACTCATGGGTCTGGACAGATGTCCACCTGCACACACACAAAAATGTGATTTGTTTTGTGTGTGTGTGTGTGCATACATGTACACATGTGCATGTGAAGGAATATTATTTAGTCATAAAAATGGTATGCTAGCTGGGCGTGGTGGTACACACCTTTAATCCCAGCACTTGGGAGGCAGAGGCAGGCGGATCTCTGTGAGTTCGAGGCCAGCCTGGTCTACATAGTGAGTTCCAGGACAGCTGGGGCTACAGGGAGACCCTGTCTCAAAAAGACAAAAAAAATGGTATGCTGTTTGTAGGAAAGTGGTTGAAAGTGGAAATCTTCATGTGAAGTGATATAAGCCAGATTCAGAAATCTAAATACTATTGTATATCTTCTTCCAAATGTGGAATTGAAAAACAATGTTAAAGTAGAAGCAGGAAGAGAATAGGAAGGGGGCTGACATGAAATCACTTCATCTGTGATTGCCTGCACAAGATCAAGTCTATCAACATTCCAGCATGGATGGGGGAGAGGTGCATGAGGCCCTACTTCTAGCTGAGGAGCTATTGGAAGTTAATAACTGGTGGAGGAGTGCCAATCTTTCTTCAGGAGTATAGCCACTGCTAAGTTGTCCACAATCCAGTAAATAATGCCACACACATGCACACACAAGCAAACCTAACTAAACTCATTGGGTTATATTTTTAAAAGACATAAAAGAGGGGGATTTGTTGGGAAGAAAAATCATTCCAGAGAGAGAAGGAAGGTAAGAAAAGAGCATAGGATGAAAACAATCAAAACACTATAAAAGTGTTACTATGTCAATGAATAAATAAAAATAATTTTTAAAAGATACAAATATTAAAATTTTTGGGTACACTAAATGACAACAGAACCCAGCTGGTTAGTGTACTGTGCTGGATAGCTTTAGTGTCAACTTGACACACCTGGGTTGAGGGAGCCTCAATCAGGGAATTGCCTCTATTGGACTGGCCTGTGGCCATGTCTGAGGGGCATCTTCTTGATGAGTGATGTGGGAGGGCCCAGCCCACTGTGGGT